AATAAAAATTAGCGAGAAAAGTTTTGCACAACGTTTCGATGTCGCTATCACACCATTTTCAAGTGCCAAAATTAACTAAAACTGACTTGATATATACGCAGTTTAAGGACTGAAATTACATGGAGTTCTTTATGAAAAACATTTCAGAAATGGGGCAGTTGAATTATGTATGACGCACTTCGATTCTTCAGCTCGTGCTTGAGAAGTGCAATGCAAAATTCTGACTGAAATGCTTTCCACAAAAAGAGGAGAGGCCAAGCTGAAACTCGAATTCGGACTCCATCCGCGCAAAACTTTTTCTATTAATAAAGTACTACTTTTCATTTACATGCAAAAATATTTACTTTTGTTTCCTTTCTTCACCCCAAATTGTTTTTTGTCATTTAAAAATGATGTCGTGGCGAGATCAACACGTTATTTCTCGCAAATTTTTACCCTGATTTGAGAAATAGTCATAGTTTACTTATATCTATAACTGGAATCAATCATCCGAACCAGATAATTTTCTTCACAGAGTGTATCTATTCCTTGGGATTGTCTAAGGTTTCCTTTTTAATTTGAAACTCAAACGGATCACAAAATGGTTCACTAACTTTTGGTGAAGTCATGTTTCATATATTCGTAGAACTTAAAATTTAGATTCGAGTTGCAGAATTAATTTATGTCATTATTTTAATAATGACAGTTCCAGCCATGACCGCCTAATACGACTTTGTTTCGAAAAAAAGGTCGCCCAAAATCGGATCTTAAAGTCCGTTTTCGCGTTCAAATCAATGGAACGGCGGCCATATTGGTGTACCAAGACAATCCTGTGGCCGGGAGTTGAACTCTTTTTTTTTCGAATTCCTTTCTTTTGTTCCAGATACTTGGAGTAGATGCTGGCCACGTGAGTGAAAACACTACAGAGTTTAAGTTTTCAACTCTGTTATGCTATGGCTAGTTTAAGCACGACGGAAAACTTTATTTTCAGCAGAAAGAATCAGAAGCTGTTTGGGCTCCGAAAGCAAAATAAGATGAATTCCAAACGTAAATATTAAATGTAGATCTACCAGTGCTATTGTATTGAATACAAGTTATAACTGGCCTTGGTATATTTAGTCTCCCTGAAGTTCCTGTTTGGGTTTGTTAACCAGTTTTTCACTTGTTTGTACCCTTTTGCCGATCAAAACCATGTAGGTTCTGTGAAACCAAAGCATTACCCACACCGAATTCACCGTGATTTTATTGCCACGGTCAGTTAACCCAAACATGTCCAGTTTTGGCTATAAAAACCCCTAGTATAGTTGAACTAATTAGTAAAAGTAGGAGAAAGTAGAAAAAAAGAAATAGAAGAGTAAGAAGATTAAGATTGCTAACAGAAGTCAAAGAAGAATAAAGATCAAGATGTAAATCAGATTCCTTGTACCTCATCGTGTAGCAAGCGAGTTGCTCGAACACTCCTCCACACAAGTTTCAAGTCTAACGTATCGGTTTCTTTTCGACTTTTGCATCAGGTATCCAGCTGGTTATTTGTGATAACTTGATCATCAAAAGGTTTTAGCCAGTTTTCCTTTACTAAAATAAGTTTCAAGTTTCACTCTTATCCTGTCCCGGCTTCTTTAATTTGCATCAGTTACCTCGTTGTTTGTAATTAGTCGATCTGCAAATGGTGTTAGACGGTTATCGTTTACCTAGTTTCTTGTTTGTCAGTTCCGTTTTTAGTCTCTCTTGCGTAAGCAGCGAGACACATAAGACCAGAAATGAAATGAGGCAGTTTAATTATGTATGACGCACTTCGATTCTTCAGCTTGTGCTTGAGAAGTGCAATGCAAAATTCTGATTGAAATGCTTTTCACAAAAAGAGAAGAGGCGAAGCTGAAACTCGAATTCGGACTCCAGCCGCGCAAAACTTTTTGATTAATAAAGTACTACTTTCCATTTACGTGCAAAAATATTTACTTTTGTTTCCTTTCTTCACGTTAATTTGTAATTTCACATGTGAAATTACAAAATTGCCATGGCAACCTTCCGTACATCTCAGTGTCAAGATGGCGACGAAGTTTTAAAATGCCGTGAATGAAGATGTCAGGACACAAAACACGCTTTAGAAAACCTGAACACACAAGAGAACATTAAGAAGGACTCTAACAGGTATTTTGCCAAAAAAGTCTGAACAATTCTGAACTTTATAAGCCAAATTTAAGGTCTAAACATTTGAGAGAGTGGAGTTCTCCATCGATACGATCCAGGATAAACGTGTCAAAAATCCAAGATTGCTAACGTAATTCGTCACCCATGATATTAATAGCTAAGCAAATGGTATACCTCGTGAAATTAGGGACTAATTTCACTTGCGTTTTGTCCAAATCCTAATAATTTCCCTCGCCTTAAGGCCCGAATTCACCGTGATTTTATTGCCACGGTCAGTCAACCCAAACATGTCCAGTTTTGGCTATAAAAACCACTTGTATAGTTGAACTAATTAGTAGAAGTGGGAGAAAGTAGAAAAAAGAAATAGAAGAGGAAGAAGATTAAGATTGCTAACAGAAGTCAAAGAAGAATAAAGATCAAGATGTAAATCAGATTCCTTCTACCTTATCGTGTAGCGAGCGAGTTGCTCGAACACACCTCCACACGAGTTTCAAGTCTCACGCATCGGTTTCTTTTCGAATTTTGCATCCGGTACCCAGCTGGCTATTTGTGATAACTTGATCATCAAAACGTGTTAGCTAGTTTTCTTTTACAAATTTCAAGTTTCACTCTTATCCTGTCGCGGCTTCTTTAATTTGCATCAGTTAATTACCTCGTTGTTTGTAATAACTCGATCTGCAAATGGTGTTAGACGGTTATCGTTTACCTAGTTTCTTGTTTTTCAGTTCCCTTTTTAGTCTCCCTTGCGTAAGCAGTGAGACACATAATCCGCAACGCGTTTTTCTTCGTATTCAGGAGACAAAAGGGAGGTCATTGTGCCAGGCGTTCCCAGCGGAGACCGTGGAAACTGGGAGTAAGAATCGTTGCGTGATGGAAGCCCATGTTTTGCGAAGAAAGCTTTTGAAAGATTAAATTTTGAGCTTTTCCGAAACGTGTCGATCCACGAATTCTATCGCTTCAAAGCATTGATTACTTTGGCCAAGTAAACACTACTGAGTGGTTGAAAAAAACAAAACAAAACAAAACAATCATAATTAGCAAAACTGCGATGGTCGGGTGTTGTAAACTTTCATTGTATGCAAATGAAAACAAAATCGTGCTGCACGCGTAATAACGTTTCAAGGTTATGACTTTCGTTCAGCACAAATACGAAAACAACTAAACTGGGAAGAGCTTGCCCTAAGGCGTCAAAGTCTATTAATGTATGATACAGTGAATGGAAATGTACCTAGTTACTTAAGAGATCTTTTCTCGAATGTCTGTGAGAACAACCTTGATAAGTCTATGCTAAGAAATACGGAATATAATGTCGTATTGGACCACGTTCCAAAATAGAATATTATAAAGGGTCTTTCTCATACAGAGGAGGAATGCTGTAGAATTCATTACCAAATGACATAAAAGCGTCCGAATCTAAAGCTATCTTTAAAAGAAAACTGGCTAGTAGGCAGGCAAACTGTTGACTACATTTTACCATATTTTATTATTTGTACATATTTTTAGTGTACAGTGTGTTGCCCAGTATCCGGATACTTCAGTTTACCATCGCAATAACTTTCCTTGGTTAGTCGCAAGAGCACTGAAATTTGGCCCAGAGAAAATCTATTTAGTCCTTAATATGACGACAGAAGTTTAACTTTTTTGCCTTTGCTTCCATGGCGAAATTAATATTTTTGCAGAGCTCCTATGTTGCCCAGTATCCGGACAGCTGGCCCAGTATCCGGACACAACAAAAACAACGTAAATGTACATAAATTTCGACAGGCAAGCGACTTATAAGCTTCTCTTGCACTTGCAAAGTAGTCTGGCAATCGATTCCAAAAATATAACCTAGCATCATGAAATAAAACATAACAAATGACTGGGATGTGGTGGGGAACGGGAGCGGTTGTTGAATGGCATAATTCTTACTTTCTTGTCTACGAACTTTTTCACTCATTTAAGGAAGACACCCGTGGACACCCCGAAGCCGCGGTTTGCTAGCTCAATAAGCCAATCTGCAAAAGACTTTTTTTCTTCATTTTTTATTTACAAAAACAAACTAGGGGAAGGGACCTCAATGCGACGGTCAAAGGTCACTCTCCTATTTAGTCTGACCTACCGTGTTGATTTCTTCATGCTCAGTCCCTACAGACCCTACAATAAGCCTACTTTTCTAGCACTAATCCCTCCTTCTTTCACATCTCTCAATCCCTTCGTGACATTTTTCAGACCGTTGCAACCCCCTTCTAGCAGTCACAACTGGGGAAAGTATGAGAATTCCAGGTTCAACTCCGACGCTTTCGGTTATATATTGAAAAGGCAGTCACGCGAAACGAAATCAAGTCGCCTCCGAATGAGGGAAGAAAAATTCCGTACGGAGTTGAGAAGAATTACATTTTACGACTATATCATATTTCCTAAGCTTTAATTATAGATAAAAGCGGATGACCTTTAGCATTAGAAACTTTTCTGAAAATTTTACGGTCTTGCCTAAGCCTGTAAGTGTTTATGATTTCTTAGAGAGATGTATATTTCCTTTTAAAACAGGGGTCTAAGAAACATTGTACAGGTGTAAGATCGGACTCGGACGTGGCGTAGACAGATAATGCGTAATTAATATTTGGTAGAACTATTGCATTAAAGAGAAGGTCTATTTCTGACTGATTCTATCCCTCTTTGCGCAGCGTTCTAAGGATATGTAGGGATTTGGTAGCTTTAATAAGTTTGTTCTTCGCGTGCACTGAAACTGATTTGCTGTCACATTGGAAGGTGGCACCCAAAATCTCTACTTCTTTACAGCTTGGTATCATCCCAATAGGTGAACAGAGATCGCGGTTGCCTCTTTTTTTGATCATCAGCTCTTTACATTTTTTTGGATTGCAAGACTTTCAATTTGTATTTGTCCAATTTAAAGACTGTGACACTAACTGATCGGAGTAGTCTACCTCCTTCCATACGGGAGCAATAATTGTCGAATCATCAGCGTACTTAAATAGCGCGTCATGATTACCTAAAGTGATGTTAAGATCATTGGGAAAGTTGTTAAAAAGGTAAGGACCGTTAACGCTATTATGAGTTGTCCCTTTGTTAACCGGTTTCCAGTAACACTCAAAGTTGTTGCAACATACTCTTTGTTTTCCATCCTTTAAAAAGTTCAAGTACCAATCGGTAGTTTATATGGATTCAGTGTGAACTTTTTTAATGTTTTAGCAAGAAGTTCATGTTTCACAGAGTCAAAAGCTTTGCTAAAGTCCTTAGCAAAAAGGTGAACTGCTTTACAATCCGGTAATTAAAAAAACATGTTTTAGTTAAAGATTAAGAGCTATTTTGTCAAGTTATGCACATTCAGGCAAAGTGTATCACTAGTGAGAGGAATGTTTTTAGAAGATCCCGGAGCACTTCCTAAAACTATAAACACTGGTTTAAAACATGTGAAACTTGTCAGCAGTCAGAGTTGCCCTCTAGCCCTAGTTATTCCTGTAACGTTCGTTCAACTTAAACTGTCTGCTAAAATCTTTTGGGTCCAGACATAGTGAATTTATTCTTCAGGGCTTTAATGCAAGTACCGGTGTGTATATCCTAGAAGACTGCCTGTATTTATGTACTTCACTTTTATGAAAGTTCCAGAGTAGTATGACTCATATATCACTGTGACCCTTAATTCTCTCTTAACTAAAAGTACGACAAAAACATAATTGGAGCTTACCACCTATATATATATATATATATATATTTAGTGTATACCAAAACAGTGGATAGTGTTTTTTCACGCACTCTGATTGGCTATTCAATCAGTGAATATCCAGTGTTATTCACTGATTCACCTCCAGTTCCTCCGAGCGAGCGACGCCAAACTCATTTTCTGTTTTTTAAAGTGAATTTCCAGATCACTGACCTCAGCAAAGACGGCCTACCACAGGTAAGACTCAGGTAAGACTGTTTATACCCGATAGCATGCCTCAAGCCACAGTCCAATATGATGAGGGGGCTATAGTTGTCCATGTGAAGGATCCCTCGCTTGGTTGGGTGGCCCGTATTGAGGTCGTTCGTGATACCCCGTATGCACCCCAAGTTATTCAGGTAAAAAACAATAGAGAAACTCGTCATGGCTACACAGAACTGGAATAACAACAAAGTATGTGGATCACGAATGTCTGGTGTGAAATGTGATCGACGCCACATCTGAATATTTACACCTTCAGTTGTCACAAAGAGAATGACTGATAAAATCGGTCCTTAACTTAATCTTGGCCTTAATAGCTTCTGAAAGTATTTAAAAATTATTTAATGTCACTTTGCTGTGTTGATATGCTTTTCTTTATCGTATCAAGACATTATATTCCGCCTAGCACTATGTAATTGATGACGCGGAGAGTTTGAAAACTTGGGAAACTCTCATTCTGTTTTAGGACGGGGCATCTTGTGTGTAGTAGGGAGTTCTATGAACTATTTAGTTTCAACAAGACAATAGAAGGCTGGTGGCTAATATAATTCACATCTTTATTGATACTAAACTGTGATACTACTTGATTAAGCAAACGTTTAATGTTAACAGCTGTTACTTGAAAATAACGCTTCGAGCGCTTTCATTCGTTAGAGTGCAATCAATTTTTTCTCCTAATTCCTTCGGTGGACCACCAGGTCCCGAACCTGTGAAGGTAAAAAAAAAAATAAAATAAAAAATAAACAATTGATACTGAATGTCAGTAAAAATCATAGAAATTAAAATCAGAAAAATCGCGGTCACCGTCAACAATCGCCTTCGCTTTTGTTTTTTTTTTTGGTCCAGTAAGCCTAAGGTGTTTAATAAAATGAAATTGACTTAGTTTTTGAAAATATTCTTTTTCAATGAATTACCAAATGACATAAAAGCGTCCGAATCTAAAGCTATCTTTAAAAGAAAACTGGCTAGTAGGCAGGCAAACTGTTGACTACATTTTACCATATTTTATTATTTGTACATATTTTTAGTGTACAGTGTGTTGCCCAGTATCCGGATACTTCAGTTTACCATCGCAATAACTTTCCTTGGTTAGTCGCAAGAGCACTGAAATTTGGCCCAGAGAAAATCTATTTAGTCCTTAATATGACGACAGAAGTTTAACTTTTTTGCCTTTGCTTCCATGGCGAAATTAATATTTTTGCAGAGCTCCTATGTTGCCCAGTATCCGGACAGCTGGCCCAGTATCCGGACACAACAAAAACAACGTAAATGTACATAAATTTCGACAGGCAAGCGACTTATAAGCTTCTCTTGCACTTGCAAAGTAGTCTGGCAATCGATTCCAAAAATATAACCTAGCATCATGAAATAAAACATAACAAATGACTGGGATGTGGTGGGGAACGGGAGCGGTTGTTGAATGGCATAATTCTTACTTTCTTGTCTACGAACTTTTTCACTCATTTAAGGAAGACACCCGTGGACACCCCGAAGCCGCGGTTTGCTAGCTCAATAAGCCAATCTGCAAAAGACTTTTTTTCTTCATTTTTTATTTACAAAAACAAACTAGGGGAAGGGACCTCAATGCGACGGTCAAAGGTCACTCTCCTATTTAGTCTGACCTACCGTGTTGATTTCTTCATGCTCAGTCCCTACAGACCCTACAATAAGCCTACTTTTCTAGCACTAATCCCTCCTTCTTTCACATCTCTCAATCCCTTCGTGACATTTTTCAGACCGTTGCAACCCCCTTCTAGCAGTCACAACTGGGGAAAGTATGAGAATTCCAGGTTCAACTCCGACGCTTTCGGTTATATATTGAAAAGGCAGTCACGCGAAACGAAATCAAGTCGCCTCCGAATGAGGGAAGAAAAATTCCGTACGGAGTTGAGAAGAATTACATTTTACGACTATATCATATTTCCTAAGCTTTAATTATAGATAAAAGCGGATGACCTTTAGCATTAGAAACTTTTCTGAAAATTTTACGGTCTTGCCTAAGCCTGTAAGTGTTTATGATTTCTTAGAGAGATGTATATTTCCTTTTAAAACAGGGGTCTAAGAAACATTGTACAGGTGTAAGATCGGACTCGGACGTGGCGTAGACAGATAATGCGTAATTAATATTTGGTAGAACTATTGCATTAAAGAGAAGGTCTATTTCTGACTGATTCTATCCCTCTTTGCGCAGCGTTCTAAGGATATGTAGGGATTTGGTAGCTTTAATAAGTTTGTTCTTCGCGTGCACTGAAACTGATTTGCTGTCACATTGGAAGGTGGCACCCAAAATCTCTACTTCTTTACAGCTTGGTATCATCCCAATAGGTGAACAGAGATCGCGGTTGCCTCTTTTTTTGATCATCAGCTCTTTACATTTTTTTGGATTGCAAGACTTTCAATTTGTATTTGTCCAATTTAAAGACTGTGACACTAACTGATCGGAGTAGTCTACCTCCTTCCATACGGGAGCAATAATTGTCGAATCATCAGCGTACTTAAATAGCGCGTCATGATTACCTAAAGTGATGTTAAGATCATTGGGAAAGTTGTTAAAAAGGTAAGGACCGTTAACGCTATTATGAGTTGTCCCTTTGTTAACCGGTTTCCAGTAACACTCAAAGTTGTTGCAACATACTCTTTGTTTTCCATCCTTTAAAAAGTTCAAGTACCAATCGGTAGTTTATATGGATTCAGTGTGAACTTTTTTAATGTTTTAGCAAGAAGTTCATGTTTCACAGAGTCAAAAGCTTTGCTAAAGTCCTTAGCAAAAAGGTGAACTGCTTTACAATCCGGTAATTAAAAAAACATGTTTTAGTTAAAGATTAAGAGCTATTTTGTCAAGTTATGCACATTCAGGCAAAGTGTATCACTAGTGAGAGGAATGTTTTTAGAAGATCCCGGAGCACTTCCTAAAACTATAAACACTGGTTTAAAACATGTGAAACTTGTCAGCAGTCAGAGTTGCCCTCTAGCCCTAGTTATTCCTGTAACGTTCGTTCAACTTAAACTGTCTGCTAAAATCTTTTGGGTCCAGACATAGTGAATTTATTCTTCAGGGCTTTAATGCAAGTACCGGTGTGTATATCCTACGGTAAGTTTATAGTGGTGATAGTTCACTTTCGATAATTACTGCAGCAGGATTTGTCTTGATTTCGGAGCTTTTTAATCGGGTTTAGCGTTATTTACATGAATTGAAACTGAATCAACCAAATATTTATCTGTAGATAAAGAAATTGAGAAAAATCTGCTTCTCCAGGAGATGAGTACTGAAGAGAAACCACGTGCTTTATGAGTAGAGTTAGAAAAGATGGGTTAGAACGTGAGAATGGCACGTGCCTAAAGAGACAAATTATTTTCCGGGGTCTAGATGTAGATTAAAATGAAGAACAACTAAACATCAGGTCAAGGATTATCAACCGGAGTTAGTTTATAACTCAAATTTACCAGAACTAAAAGGACTTTTATACTCACTGGTTTGGTTAGTACTTTAAATGACACCAAAGTCAACCACCTACAAAAAAGAGTTGTGATGCGATATTAATTTCATTTTGTTTCAACTACCGTTAAGTAAGACCCCTCAAAGCATGCCAGCAAGCAGGATACAGAAGAAACGACTGGATTTTACAGACTTTCGGTTTGTTGTAAAGTGAAGATAAAATCATTTATTGATGGATGCTACACACTTTTTATGCGGAAGGTACAGATGGCGGTTGTCGAGATCACAAATTTATACAATGAAGATGATGTGAACTGCGGAAATACAAATTTAAATGAAGATGCGATCGTCGTAGTTGTAATAGCAATTTAAGCAAGTGCCAATTCACCTAACACAATTTCGGGGCTTCAACGGGATTCGAACCCATGGCCTTGCGTTAGCGCTGCAGTGCTCTACCAGTAACTAAACAATGAAGAGCTATACATTGGGAGCAGGCTTAAATTCAGAGAAAGAGGCCTTGGCGCTTGTAACGGCCTTCGAAAGATTTCTTGCCCATTTGCATGGTGCTTAGTTTGAACTAATGACTGACCCCAAGAATCTAAAAGTGCTTTTTCACACCGAAATTAAAGAACTGTTCAAGGATCGAAAGATGGCTTCTGACAGAATGTACCCTGGCCAGTTTACAGTGAAGTACATTTCAGGTTCTAAGTATATTGCATATCTTTCTTATCACGCCTTCTGTGCTCAAAGACAAATACCAAAGCAAAAGACTATGTAAAATGTTGGCTCTCTCGAGGATCGACACTTGTTGGCCTGACAATTTGTAAAATTTAGAGACAGCGTCAGAGAGCTGAAAAGTGTGTACGAGAATTTCTCTTGAATAGGAAGTCGCATGGCATAGAATTCATTAGCTGTGGGAAGTGAATTATGTGCGACTGATAAGCTTGTTCTTCGTGGAACTCAAATTGTGATACCAAAGCTACTTCGATTCATTCGTTGTCGCGAATAGATCTGGCACATGAAGGTCACCCTGGGATCGAAGCAATGAGGCAATGAAACAAGCAAATTTTGGTGGCATGGCATCGATAAGAGCGGTAAAGAGATCTTGTAAGGCCTCTCGTGGCTGTTAGCTATTTTGAACGTTAACCTGATAGCAAATTTATTTTTCTGCCATAACAGCTGAGAAAATCTACAAGAGCCGAAACAACCAGATATAACGCAAACGAGCTACAAGAAATGGTGATGTCAACAATTAATTACATTGCTGAGCACCACTTACAGACGAAAAATCAAATCAACTGGGACTCTACAAGATGTATTACATATTCTACAGACTACTATCAACGACTCACTTTAGAACGCTGGTTTACGTACTTAGAACAAACGCCACTGAATCGTAGTCAACGGTTACCGGCACCGTACAAATAATTTACAGACGGACTCAAGCAAAACTGAAAACGATGACAAAGTACGGATGGAAAAGCATCAACGACATCTAAAGCCTTTTAGTAAAATCCAACTAGTGGTCAATTATATTAATGCTGCGTTCTGATTGGTTGAGCTACTACTAGGCTATATGTTATAGCCCACTTGTAGCGAAAAGCGCCGGCTTTGAAAACCAAAACAATGGCGGCTAGATCACGTTTTGCTGGCTAAAGTTGTTTTGTCACTATATTTTTGACTAACTAGTTGGATTTTACTAAAACAATTATTCCTCTCGCCCTGATGGGCTATTGACTCAGAGCCCATTCGGGCTCGAGGAATAATTGTTAAATAGCCAATAAGATCACGAATTAACCGACAGACGACCAATAAAATCGCGAAGTAATTGACCAATCGGGTCATTAACCAGAGTTTAATACCATCAGTTGACGTGATACAACTCACTTTGACTCTGAAGATGACTACCGCACAGGTTGTCGAAACGTCAGTCACTGTCAACAACAGTCCTATTCAGGACTTCATTGACCTGGACGATCTTATTCCACTTACTTTATGAAATGACTCTTGGGTTCAAACCGTTCACAGTGTTAATTGTACTTAATTAATGTTTGATTTCAAGGTCTTGATATATAATGATAACAGCACATTAATGAATAGACACTAAAGAATGCCTTAATATTGCCAATCTAAAACTCACGGCAGTTTCCCCAACGTCCTTTGTAAACAGGATCCAAGGAGCACCAAGGTCTGTGCCAATCAGCAGTAGTGCAAGAGTTGTACGTCACGTGCTTGTATTTAAATGGAATAGTGCAACATTTGCCTGATGTTGTCTTCGGAGGGCAAACACTTGTGGTGACTGGTAACGTTATCAAAGAAAAGACAGAATGCTCTTGGTATAATGATAAAAAATGTAACTTTGAAATACACACTAAAGATGCCTTAGCTATTTCAATTTAAAACTTACGGCAGTTGCCCCATCTTCCCTTATACACAGGATCCAAGGAGCACCAAGGTCTGTGCCAATCAGCAGTAGTGCAAGAGTTGTAGGTCACATGCTTGTATTTAAATGGAATACTGCAACATTGGCCTGATGTTGTCTTTGGAAAGCAAACTGATGGGGAGAGAAAATAGCCGTCTTTATGTACTGATAATATCATTAAAGATGCTTTAGCTAAGTCAATTTATACTGACGGCAGATTCCCCAACGCCCTTTGTACACAGGATCCAAGGAGCACCAAGGCCTGTTGTAATCAGCATAAGTGCAAGAATTGTAGGTCACTGCCTTGTATTTAAATGGAATAGTGCAACGTTTACCTGATGTTGTCTTCTGAGGGCAAACAGTTGTGGTGACTGGTAACGTTATCGAAGAAAAGACAGAATGCTCTTGGTATAATGATAAAAAATGTAACTTTGAAATACACACTAAAGATGCTTTAGCTATTTCAATTTAAAACTCACGGCAGTTGCCCCATCTTCCCTTATAAACAGGATCCAAGGAGCACCAAGGTCTGTGCCAATCAGCAGTAGTGCAAGAGTTGTAGGTCACGTGCTTGTATTTAAATGGAATACTTCACCATTTGCCTGATGTTATCTGCTGATGGAACACAGTTGGTGACGAGTTCGTGGCTGGTTAGAGAAGACAAATGAATGCTCTTGTTATAATGGTATCACTTTGAAATAACACTTAGGATGGTATAGCTACATTCGAAGTTATGCAGGAGCGATGGAATATTAGTAACACCAAGCTTCACTGACTCAACAGACATTTATGGTTTGCAGCTAACATCACGGTTGCCACGTTGGCTGGCACAAAAAAAACACAAGAGGTCCCCCGGCTAGTAATTAAGAAACGTTCCAGATAAGAACGATAGCAACAACGGCAACGAACATGTTGGAATGCAAAAAAAGGTGCTAACTTTTCTATTGTCTGTACTTACTTCTGATTGGCTTAAACAGCAAAAGATAACAAAACTTCATAAAGCGGTACATATATTTATCCTTACTTTCCAACCACCTTCCATATAACGAAATCTGGTCTCAGGTTGAATAACAAAGAAATCCTATGTGGGGAACATCTAAAATTGTAAACTTTTCTTGGCTATTGTTTTCAACTCTTGTGATTGGTCAAAATCTTTTAACACAAAAAAACACCCTTTCAAAGTGGAGTGTAAATGCATTTTATTGCGTAAACGGCCTTCATGTAGGTTTATGCATTCTCTGTGTAAAAATGAGAACATTCCTATGTGGGGAAAGCACCGTTGCCGCATAACAAAAGAAATTGCTATCCACCTTACCCGGATCATTACTTAAACTCTTTTTCTTCGTGCAAAGTCCCCCTTTTGTCAACAACCCGTCACCCAACATTATCGCCTTAACGTGGTTGTAAATCAAAAATTAGCTGATGTAATTTTAAATCTTATTGTAAACTCGTAACATTGTAGTAAGTATATTTTACGCAAAGTACTAGGAATATCGGAATTCTCACTATGAACTGTCAGGGCTGTGAAACACAGGAACAATGCAATCGGCAGCATTTTTTCTGCGAGTTTATGTAGAACTAGTTTCATCTCCTGAAAAAGAGAACAATAGACTATAACCACGTTGTATGAAATTAGGTATCTGATTTTTTTATTCACCAAAATAATAATAATGATGTCATGATGATGAATATGATAATGATGATGATAATAATAATACGAATGATAACAATGAGCTATCAAGGTTGGATCCAACTGGAAAACTTCACCGAAATTCCGGGTTTTCTTTCGATATCTGTATTATTGATATTTGCCATCGGGTTCTTCTAACTCTATCACGTTTTACGCTTTTCTTTTCTCGGCTACGCAAAAATGTATTCGTCTCTCGCCCCGGGCTCTTATGCCGCAGAATTCTAATTATAATATAATGCAATGCTAATTATAAAAGTCTGCCTTGCTCCTGATCTGTCCTCCTTGCGCAGCTACTCCTTCTATTTTACTTATTTATTTACTGTTTTTTTGCTTGGGAGTTCCTTCTATATTTAATTGCCAGTGACGACTTTTATTAGATCTTCTCAACTGCAATGCGTGAGTTTCATTACTTGACTGATTCACGTATCTTTTTTTAAAATATTCCAAGAGCAGACTAATCAGGACCAGATATTTTAGAGTGTAAAATTATTGACCTCATGGACCTGGAGGAGGCGTTGGATTTTTGCTTAGATGTGCGCACCAAATTTGCACAGAGAGATAATTTTATATTCATCAATTCTGATTCTGGGTTATTACATGATATGATTGGTCTGATTGGGCCAGTTAAGAAATCTGTCAGTCATTTCAGAACTGTAGGGAGCATGTGCGAAGTGACGTTGGTTTTTGACTGTGCTCCGTGATTTGAAAATGAAGAAGGAGTTACTCTGATCATTACATATTTGTTTGAACCATTTTTTTCTGGAGAAATATAATTAAAAGCAGTTCCTCCATCCTTCAGTTCTGATAATCGACAAGAGTAAACTGAATTAGTTCGCTCCTAAGTATTAAACGTAAACATTGATCGGTCATGTTGTCGGACGTCACTTTACCTCGTAAATGGCTTTCAAGTTCTGTCCTCTGAGTCAACGAAAATCAAGCAATTTCCATTAGGTTTTTAGAAGAGCTAAATATTTCTAAGGGACAGTTTTCAAATCTTTCATATTAAATAGGCGTACTGACTGTCAACTTCTAACTGAGCAGTTTATTCAGCCGTCCAAAAGTTAAAACTGTGCACTCTATCCAAAACCTCTCTGTGCGCAATAAAATAAAAAACAGAGATGGGGAAGCTAAAGCAACGATTCTTGGCAAATCGTCCAAAGGTGTTGAGCAAAGTGATCCATAAATTCGCCAGCCCCAGCCCTATATCCGTAACCACCCAGAACCAACAAATCGACACCTTATTTCGATGTACCCTGGAGAGGAATCTTTTTAACGTACTTAAGACTGATTATATGGTGAATTAAGAAAGGTAAGTTGTACAAGGTAAATTTTCTAGTTCGAGTAATTAAGAACATGAACAAATTGCAATTCTTTACTGACAGAGGCACTCGGACTCAGTCTTCCAATGGTCGCTGTTGAGCACTGATATAGTGAGCGAGGTCTATGCGCGTCTTTTTGTTTTAGTATAGTGCGCGTAGTGTGATAAAACAAATTAAATAACAGACAAGATATCAACTCGTTTTTGTTGTCAGTTGAAAAAAGGGTTTAGTTCAATATCTGGAATATCAGTTATTGCCTTTAAAAAATCTTCAAAGAACAGAAAGCACAAAAGATTTAATTTCGCCATCTCTGTCGTTGGCTCTTCAAAAACAAACATACTAGTAATTACTAAAAAATTTTTGTGCATCGAGTGGCAGAAGACGGGCTCGTCTAAATTTCGTGGTACCAAAAAAGCACCTTTTCGATCCGAGTTATTAGTAGCAGCTAGTTTCTATAACTCCTGATTGGCTGCTTGAAAAACGTTTCTGTAAGTGGCCGTCGCGTCGATTGCTGAAGAGCGAAAGATCTTGATTTGATAGGGGTGCCTTTAACCAATTACCTTGCGAGCAGAGGCCCTTCGATTTGCCTAGATAAGTCGCGACTTATCTAGAAGATCGAAGGGCCTGTGCTCGCAGGGCGGGGGGTTTCAACCAATATATCAGTGTCCGAACTCTATTCACGACTTAGCATTCACAGTGCTCATGATATCATGATCATGATAGTAACTGACAGGCGTTTTTGGTTTGTCTAGATCTCTTGTCAATAAATAGGTTAATAGCTGCACTAGAACTAATTTTTAAGTGAGAACATCAACTCCTCCGAGGAAATTTTTGTTGTAAGTGCAAGAAAACGAACAGTGTGGCCCCACATTTTTTTTTAAAAAAATACCGCTAGTCTTTTATCCATGAAACTTCCGAGAGATCCTTAAAGCACAGACCGAGTGATACTTGATTTGTATTTTTATCTTGGTTTAGAATACCCGCACTTGCGAAACCTGTTCCTACCTATAAAAAATGTTTCGCCTTCTCACAAAAACTTTTTTCTTCACAAGGTGGAAACTTGTCGTTCTATTGGTCTTTATTAGACAAGCAGTAAAGAAATAATATTTGTATTTAATACGTCCAGCGACATAAAAATGTTCTAAGATAATATTGCTGATCGTAAGTCCGATTTTGCACTAATTTTATTTCTCTGCTATGTCACTGCGTTCCGCCGCAGAGAAAACGTTTAAGTTCTAATCAGCAGAAAGGCAACAACACGTTGAAATAGGAAGGACACGACCAGTTGTGTTTATTGGGGACGAGAAAAGCTAACACAAGGTGCGAGCGGTAAAACTGGCTGTGTCGAGTGACTAACGCGAGAGGCGACAAGGCTTAAATACCGAGATGTGACGTAAAATCCCTAGAGGATCAAACCGCGGCCATAAATGCAAATTCCGAACATAAACACATTAAATATGACTTTTGACGAATATTTTAAAATAACGCGATTTAAGAATAAAAAGAGTTTTAATAGGCCGTCTTTATTGTTTGTCTTGTTGATGGTTATTCTCTTAATATCGATCTCAACGTTTCGACCGCGTTTTGCAGGTGTTCATCAGGAGATGGTGTTAATATTGTAGTGCCAGACTATCAGTAGCACCACCGCAGTCGGTGATTGGTGCATTTCTTTCATTTGTTTATGCCGCGTACACTTCAGCCGTACTTCGCAACGAATTTTATAATTTACTCCATCTTGATTTCGTGGGCCAAAAGTATATAATGTCGCACTAAGTGTTATTTGAAGACAAATCCTTATGCTTAAAACTGCGAGGCCCCAGCACAAATCCTGATCAAGCAACTTGATATACTGTTCAGAACAAAAGCTCTTTCGTGTATCCTGTTCTAAGAACAATGATAGGGACTTTAAGATTCGCTACAGCAAGAGGCTACTACGGCTACATAAGGTCAAAATCATTTCCGGTGACGTCACCACGCGAGATGCAGAACGGCTTTCCCGCCGTAGCCTCGTTTTCTGATACGTCAAGTTGCCTTCTTTTCCGTACTCTTCACTACGTGATTATTAACTGTCATTTCTTTGCCATCTTAAAGCTTATTTCGCTTTTCTGAGAAGCCTACTTCAAAGACTAAGTACTTAGTCATACTTAGATATTCATTATTGCTTCGTTA